TGCCCCCAAATGTCTACACTGCCATGGTGGAGAATTTTTATCCACCTTTTAATCTAAAATTTGCATTTCCGAGACCACATCATTGTATTGAATTTGGTTTCACACGTAGCACATCAATCTTCTTCACGTTAAAATGCTAACTCAGCCCGCCTTTAGCACCTACCAGGGCGGGGTAAGATAAACATCTGTGGAATGAGCCCCTGTTTCTTTCACTGGACTGGCCACCAGGGGGCAGAACTTGCTGGAAGCTTGAAAGAAATGCTTTGAAAGATCCTGTACAAAGAAGTTGCTTTATAGAGTCCGTTGAAACTTTCTATGTGGACCTCTCTCCCCACCCTCCCTCCCCTTCTCCCCCTCCAGCAAAACCAAATCCAAGCTACAGGATGCACCTGAACCTGGCTGTGTAGTAAGCTTTTCCAAGTCAGGCTAGAGCTGTGGGAAACCGCAGGTTCTGTAAATCTTGGGAGGGAAAGAAAAAAAAATGGCTAGCTTGATGGGGAAAAGGGGTATGTTGTAGATCATAACTACAAATTCACAAAATGCAAACTCCACAGGAACCACATTCAGTTGGTACAGTTTAAAGCCATTTGGGCATTTAACATGGAACGGCAGCGCTGGACCCAATTCTGCTTTGTGGAACAAAATTACACGGCACATCACCAGAAAGAGCCGTGTGAAATGGCAGGGATTTTTTTCTTCTCAGAGCTTTTGAACCTGGTTGACAGCTAGCTGCCTGGGAGCTTGGTTCATTAGCTGCATTTACAAGGGCAGCTTAACATATACAAAACAGGTTTGTTTTGTTTTTAAATTAAAAATGTCCCCTCCCGTGTCTTGCAATGCCTGTACACCATCCTTGTTTGCGATTGAGATTGATTTAAGGATTGACCATATTATGTGCCAAGGACTATGGTAGTTGTGACAGGATCACTCTTGCACTCCCCCTGTGTGTTGACTTTTAGAGGGAAAAAGCCTTAAGCAAACACACGTTCCCATACATGAGCCCTTCAGAAAGCACTTGGGCTACTTATTTGCTCTCCTGGAAACGGTCTTCTCCCTCCGCTCAACTGTGATGCTGATACCTGGTGACCACAGGGGAAGACCGGGGGTGTCCGAAAGCGCTGAGGGCCTATCTGTCCAACCAGAACCATGAAGCGGGTCCTTGGAGGGTTAGTGCTGGGCCCTTCATTTCCCCTTCCGGCCATAAACCCTCAGAACCACCCCGGGCCCGGCGGGCTGTGGTCTCCAACCAAGTAAATTGCAGCCCATGCGCCCTGGGAGGATGACCCAACATGACTCACGGTCTTCAAGTTACAAAGCGCTGGAGGGAGGCTCTGCAAGGGTTTTGCTCGCTCCGGCCGGCAGACGTGGCCACCAGTCCCCACAAAGGCCACGTTGCATGTCCCGGCCCAGCCCACCCAGGGAATCAGTTGGCCCGGAGTCTCCAAGCAGCTCCCGGGCCAACGTGCTCACCTCCCCACGCTCCTCATCCTCCTCTCGGGGCTGCTCTAAGCCTGGCCATCCTAACAATGGGGTGAAGGCCCGGGGGGCTCAGAGGCCAGGCATTATTGAGCAGATCCCCGTACTTTGGGGCATCCCACCTGTTGCATCTCCCTCCTCTTCCCCCATTCTGGTCTCCCCTGAGCGCCCCAGGTCACCAGCCACTACACGTAGCCCAGGTCCTTCCCTGCACGTAGACTCGGACAAAGCAGGACACCCAGGCGCACGCGGTGAGTCACACACACACACACACACACACACACACACACACACACACACACACACACACACACCGCCTCCTCTCCGTCCCCCGCACTCACCAGGTCCACCACCTCCCGCTGCCGCAGCAGCGCCTTCTGCTTCACCTTGGGGGTCTCATTGGCGCTCGCCGGCGCCGGCAGCTGCAGCAGCAGGAGCAGCGGGAGCAGCAGGAGCGGCAGGAGGCCGAGGCGCCCCGGCCTGGGGGCGGCGGCGGGGCCCTGGGGGCGCATGGCGCGCGGCGGCCCGGACACGCGGAGCGGGAGCTGGAGGAGCCCGGGAGCTCGGACGCGCTCAGAGGCTGGTCCCGCGGCGCTCCGAGGCGGGCGCAGGCTGCATCAATGCGCCTTTCACCCGCGCGCCTCCCCGCTCCCTCCCCACCCCTGGACACCCGGAGTTTCCATCCGGTCATAGGCCAGAGCCCCCACCCCGAGCCCCACGTGGGGCGGGCCAAGAGCCAGGCCCGCCTTCTCCTGCCGCCGGCTCAGCCCACTGGGACCCCCGCGGGGCTGGACAGATCGCCCGGAGAAGCCTCCTACAAAGTGGGGGTGAGGTGGCCATCGTCTGGGAGCCACGAGTGGAGACTTCGAGGGCGGGCGTGGAGATATTACCGCCTAAATGATCATTGGAGAGGCACGTGCCTTCACTTGGGTTCAGGGACCGCCTTCAAGGGTTGTCAAAGCTGGCATCTTCTGCAAGATCCTTTTTGGGGGGGTGACCTTTTTTGGTGGGGAGGAGAACCATGAGTGTCATCAAGTTTTCCCTGGGCCCCATGAGCCAAATGATTAAGAACCGCTGTTTAATAATAAATGCTAACACTTGCTAAGCTCCAGGAACTACTAGTATGCAGTCTTTCACTACGCATACTCCTTGTCTATTGAGACAATGTGTGTGTGTGTGGGGGGGGAGGGGGGCAGTGGCGGGGGTGGGGGGGGGCAGGGGGAGGGTACCTTCTCTACTTGCCCCGTTCACAGATGAGGACAATGATCTCAGGGCAGTTAAGCAGCACTCAGTGGTAGAAGTTCACTTTCGAGAAATCACTATTGATTTCTGATTGATGTATTTTTCTAACCTTCTCTGACCCCCTTTCATCTGTCCTTTATCCATGCTGGAAGAAAGCATTCTGGGGAACCCAGGCCCCCCACCAGGTAGGGTCAGGAGCTTCTCTATACACCACTGGCTGACATCAGGCAGGACAGAAGTCTTGCCACACCTGTAACAACATGAAAGTTCCTGTTGGCAACGCTGCTGAGGTCAAATTCAACTCAGCGGGGTTCTCTTTGGAAACCCAGCCAGGTTTCTGGAACTTACAGTGGGCTCAACAGATGGATATTCAAGAGAAGGAACAGTTTGGCAGGGGACAGTTCTAGAAAAGCACACTCCTGGGCCAGTATGAAACCACAGGTAAATTTCATTCCTGTTTATTTGAAGAGGCAAATATCCAAATGGGTGCTAGAGCCAGAGTTGGCTACATAATTTGCCCAGCCCAATGCAAAATGAAAATGCACTGTCCTTTGTTAAGAAATTATTAAGAATTTTAAGACTTTGTCAACAGAGCAATACAACAAGTGTGGGACCCTTCTAACTGCAGCAGCATAGGTCGCTCATGCATGAAACCAGCCACATGTAAAGCTAAACAACGCCCCAGCTGATACCCTCCCGCAGCCTGGGGCAGCAGTCTACAGGCTGGAGAGGAGAGGAGGCACCCCCAGAGAGTCTGTCTAGCCAATCGTAGTTCCTGCTCCTGCTCCTGTCACCAGTGACTTCAGATGGGCCCTCTCTGTGTAAATTTGGGAAACAGATTGGGGTTTCAGCAAAGAGCTATTACCTGTATTAACAGTCATGCATTTTTAAACTACACATTCACATAATCAATTCCTCTGCAAGATAAGTAAATAAGATATCATTATCTACATTCCAAAGATAACATAGAACAATGTATATATGCACACATTTACAGCTATATAGAGGGCTTGCACATATACTGTCTCCCAGGTCCTAAAAATTATACAAAAGTACTCCCCCTCTGGGTTGGATTAACTTCACTGTCTGTGCTTACTTCTCTCCCTCTGTGGTTTGCCAAGCCATTTATCCTACCACCTCTGGAATGTACCATCTTAGTCCAGTTGAGTTTGCTCCGTCTAAAACGTAGGCCCATTTTACCATTATAGATTTTAGTTCTAGTTAGTGATTATAGATTAGTTTAGGGTCCTGGATGTTATTTCCAGAGTGGTCTTTCCCAAATATTTCCAAATGTTCTGCATATTTTCTGTTCAAATATTTTAATTTTTTTCCTATTGAACAATTAATGCATTTCTTATCTGTCATAAAACTCCAGACTGACAAATCTCAGAGGGAATGGCAGGGGGAGCAGTAAGAGACCAACAAAGAATTTAAATGCATATATGCATAACCCATGAACACAGACAATAGTGTGGTGAAGGCCTGGTGAGGGGGAGTGGGGTGAAGGGGGTTAATGGGGGTGAAAATGGGAAATCTGTAAAAAGTGCCAATTTTTAAGAATCAATGAATGTGACACTTACTGAAATGAAGACAGAAGAACCTATGTATTAGTCAAGGTCTAATCAGAGTAAGATAAACCATGCTAGATATTTCGACCAGAGGAGATTGAATACAGGAGATTGGTTACCCAGATGTTTGGAAGTCAGGATGCTGAAGTAAACCAGATGATTACTGAAAGAAGCAGCTACCACAACTAGGGCTGGGACCGAAAAGAGAAGAGGTGTCTCTAGGGGAAGTCCTAGAGGCTAGAGCTTGGAGGAAGTCCCATCTCCATCTCAGAGTGCACAGTTGGTTCTCAGACTTCTGGTTGGTGCATCAAATACACAGTATTTAGACTGCCACGGAGTCCTGGGCAACTGGTACCTCTGAAGGGTGTAGCACAGCTGCTGCCAAAGGAAGCTGGAGGCAAAAGTTGTGGCTATCCTCTCCTTAGTGACTATCTAAGTACTTTTAACTGATATGTGTAAAGTGCTCTCTCTATATATATTTGCTATTATTATAAAAACTAGAGGCCCAGTGCATGAAATTCATGCATGGGTAGGGCCCCTAGGCCTGGCCAGCAATCAGGGCCGATCAGGTTCCCCACCTCCCCGCCTCCTCCTTCCCTTGCTGCCCACACACAGCCAACACATGGTTCCCCGCCTCCCGGCCTCCCTGCCTCCTCCTTCCCTTGCTCCCTCAGTACCCCACCACTGCCACCATGTTCCACGCCGCCCACTCGTGGTCAGCATATGCCATAGCGAGCGATCAAACTCCTGGTCTCCCGGTCGAACTCCCGAGGGGACAATTTGCATATTAGCCTTTTATCATATAGGATAATAAAAGTAGGGGCTTCTATATAAAGTTAAAGGAAGCCATGATTTAATAGATGACAATTAACCTCTACATCAGCTGTATCATTCAAGTTCTGATTAGGAGACAGAAACCAGTCTGAGTATTTCCAACAGAAGGAATTTGATGTAGGATATTGACTTCAAAGGCTAGCTCAGTAGGGGACAATGAAGCAGCCCAATATTGCCCATAGCTGTAAGCTGCTACCTTCTTTAAGCCAGAGAGAGACAAGGTGACCCGTCAAAGCGGGAATCATGTTGAGCTTATCCAATGGAAGCTGGAGCCATGAAAAGAGATGAAGCCTCTGCCAGAGAAGGAAGATGAGGAATACCCCGGCTTCTTCTCCCCTCTTCCCACCCTCCAATCTCCAAAGGCAGCTAGAGGCACCTGAACAAAAGCCTGGGGACAGCCTGTGGAGGTGAGTCAGCCTCCTGTGATGCAGAGCAGAGCAGCAGAAGCCCAAACAATGGATCTGAGGGCAAAAGGTACTGATGAGTCCTGCTATGGGGGGGCCTGAATTTCTCCCTCTATTGGCTCCTGTTCACACATAGTCAGCTCTAGAATCCAACAGTGCAGTGGTTTCATCTGCATTCCTAAATGCCTAACTCAGCAGCCTGTTCACAGCAGTACTAAATGGTTACTCCATCCACATCCTGCACGAATAAACAGTCAGTATACAGCACACTTGCCATCTCATGAGTGAGTGGGATTTTTATAGTTCTAAGGAAAAGAACAGTGGATGGGAAATTATAGAACCTAAATATCATTCATGAAAGACGAGTGGAAGTCCCTCGATGCGATCACGGTAAGTGCATTTTACATGCATCCCTTTAGCGTTGTGCTTATACAACTAGAAGCTGGCCCTTCGCAGTGCTTGAGGATAAGCACTGGTCTGTGTTAGACCTGGAAGAGTTACTAGTGCACTTCCTTTCTTCTGAATCGTTGCAGCTACATGCTTGCTACTTGGGTAGTCTTTCATTTCCTCTAGAATTTTCGTCCTTTTTCTTAAGTTACCCAATACTGGGCACTGTCTTTCCCCCTTCATTATGCCCTGTGTACAGAGGTTTTGCAATCGGCATTCTCTGAACAGACTCTGCATTGTAAGAAGTCCTCAGAAAATTGTTCACCATGGCGATCTGTTATGAAAATGGTCAAGATTAAAGACATTTCTGGGCAGTTCAGATGGCTTTTTGCAGTCTGCATGTCTCTTCCAAGGCACAAAGGATGGCCTGTTTTATGATAAAGGAAAGCCAAAGTAAGCAGGATATTTGGATTACATCTTAAAACATTTAGGTTTACGAAATATATCCAGCTCTCCTGTCTCTCTAAACCAGGGTTTCTGGTTGTGTTTCCCCTGGCAATTCTGCCTCAGTTTTAGATGTGATTATTTTGTTGATATAAAGTCAGGCCATTGCAATAGAAGTTGAAACAGACCAGTAATATTAATCTCCTCCCTCACCTATCAGAGTTTTTATTAAGTGACAAAGCCAGCTGAATGCAATGTCACCTCTCCCCAAACTGTCCAATAGAGAATGCTAAACGGTGACAAAATGGGACGTGACTGGTGACAGGAGGGAGAAAAAGATCAAGAGGCTTAGATACAAAACAAGAAATGGGTAACTGTCCAAAGAAAAAAGCAAGAGCTAATGGAATAATTCATTGTAATTATGGCTTAAAATTAAGTCTAGGCAAACTCCCTTCCCATGTTCCTTACCATGATTTGAAAATATCCCTTTGAGAATATTATTAGATACGTTGGCAGTATTATCAGAAACACCCTCTCACCACCTTTACCTTCTAGCTCTTGGCTAGATGAATTATTCCTATTTTTATGGACACTGTTGACCCCCTAATTTATTTATGGAGTCTACAGAATGCATGCTTTGCAATTTATAGATGACCCAAAGCTCAGAGATACAGCTCAAGCTGTTTGCACCAAAGCCAGGTGGGAAAGATCTACTTGGTGGCAATTTCTGAGAAACAGATGAGGGTGGGTAGGTGTTGGATGTGTGTGTGTGGTGAGGGGGGGGGGGGGCTGTCGGGGAGAACAGGGGGAATACTGAATTAGTCACTTGCTAAATGAAAACCAAAAAATGGTTTTCAGGACACACAGAGGAAAGGCCAGGTGACACAGCAAGGTGAGACCAGGTGACATCTGCCAAGGGGAGAGACCACAGAAGAAAACAAACCTGCCGACACCTTGATCTCAGACGTCTCTCCTTGAGTATGGTGGGAAAATGAATTTCTGCTGTGTGAGCCACCAGCCTGTGGTTTTGTTATGGCAGCCGAAGCAGACTGACAGGTCCACAACCCAGAGCTGAAGCCGCGACCGCTTGAGACAGACTTGCATTCAGAGGACTCGGGATGGCCATGTGTTTCGCTCCCCTTGGAGAAATGATGAGGGATGGCTTCTGTGAGCATGAGCATCACCTGAAGGGCATCTCAAACCCTGCTTGCTGGCCCCTCCTGCAGACCCTCTCAGTCAATAGGTCCGGGGAGGGGCCTGGGCATCTGCATTTCTCACATGCTCTGGGGCTGCTGGTCCGGGCACCACATCTTAGAAGCTGAAACAGACATTTAAAAACTATTTTTAATGAATTCATTTTTAAAAGAGCAACAACTAGCCTCATCATATGTTAGAATAAAGAACCTATTTTCTTGAAAATAGCTATATTTTGTAAAACAAAAAAGTTAAGGAGAGTGGCATTGTTTTGCCTTTTTGCAAATCTTTTTACAGCTGGAGTCTCATATTTGCTTCTAGCTTCAATCTGCTGGCATCTCACCCATCAGGCAGCCTCTGGAAACTCCACTGTGCACCTGTGAGAGAATGAGAGTGAAACAGGCAAATAGCATCACGATCACTATGAACATAGCATTAATGTCACATTTGCCCTGAAAGCATCTCAGGCACTCCCTAGGGTCCCTAGTCCACACTTTGAGAACAGATAATTTATGGGGTGGGCAGAAGGGAGCCCCAAAGAAAGAGGCAGAGATGTAGAAGGAAATCCAGAAGAACCTTGCACCAGGATCCACCCAGCTGGTTCACACTGTTTCCCTCTTACCACATGCACATGAGCATGCACGTGCCAGTGCATTGGAGACGTTAAAACCACAGCCGGAGAGGGCAAACATCCCTAGGACGAGAGGAGAAGTCTCACCCTGTTCAAGTGCGCGTTGGTTTTCCAGATTCTTAGACCCTTCGCTCTGCTCCTCAGCCTAGGAGTCTGGCACTCCGTCCTCCCGTGAATCTTTGGTGACCTCCTGGGCTTTGCCGTTGGTGATTTTCTTGGAACCGGGGGCTGTTGTTCCTCCTCTCTCCATGGCTTAACTTTTGTCCACAGCATGCATGTCCTCCTCCTCCTGACCTCCCCCCGTCCCGTCCGTCCGTCCCCCCCCACCCCCCGCTCTCAACGAGGCCTTCAGAACTGTTCGGCTAGAGACCCAGTCCTTACTCCTGGTCTGCTACTTCCCTCAGCTTCCCACTCTATTTTTAAAGTATCAGACTTTATTAGAAGGTGTCTTTGAAACCTACCTCAATTTTTTTTAAGTTTTATTTTTTAAACCTTAAAATTTGCCATATTTGATTCAGTTCTTTTTTTAAAAAATATATTTTATTGATTTCTTACAGAGAGGAAGGGAGAGAGATAGAGAGTCAGAAACATCGATGAGAGAGAAACATCAATCAACTGCCTCCTGCACACCCCCCACTGGGGATGTGCCTGCAACCCAGGTACATGCCCTTGACTGGAATCGAACCTGGGACCCTTCAGTCCGCAGGCCGACGCTCTTCCACTGAGCCAAACTGGTTTCGGCTCAGTTCTTTTTTTAAAATATATTTTTATTGATTTCAGAGAGGAAGGGAGAGAGAGCAACATCAATGATGAGAGAGAATCATGGATTGACTGCCTCCTGCACGCCCTCTCCTGGGGATTGAGCACGCAACCCTGGGCATGTGCCCTTGACTGGAATCGAACCCGGGACCCTTTGGTCCTCAGGCCAATGCTCTATCCACTGAGCCAAACCAGCTAGGGCCCTACCTCTATTTTAAAGCCATTCCTTTCCTGTTCAAGAAGAGGTAGACTTTGGGTTTCAGGACACAGCTGGGCAGTAAATATTTATTAAAGGAATAAATAAAATATAAACTACCACTCTTCCAGAGGCAGAAACATGCAATGTCCCTGCGGTGTGTCCCCTTCCAGGACTGAGAAAATTCTTCCCAGCATTCTCCCTGCACGCTTCCCTCCTGTCGGATTGGGCAGGATTGGAGCACTTGCCTGTTGCCTAAAACAAATCACTTGGCAAGAGACATTAGCCCCCTAGGGCCAGAAAGAAATGGTGCCTTGCCCTAACCGGTTTGGCTCAGTGGATAGAGCATTGGCCTGCTGACTGAAAGGTCCCAGGTTCGATTCTGGTCAAGGGCATGTACCTGGGTTGCGGGCACATCCCCAGTGGGGAGCGTGCAGGAGGCAGCTGATCGATGTTTCTCTCTCATCGATGTTTCTAACTCTCTATCCTTTTCCCTTCCTCTCTGTAAAAAAATCAATAAAATTAAAAAAAAGAAACGGTGCCTCCCCTGAAGGACAGGGCTCCTGGGAGAACAGTGAACACTACCTGAGTTCTATTCATAAGGAAGGATGAGCGGCAGGCATAGTTGGGTAATTATTGGGTAGCCAACCAAGAGCGTCTGCCACAAAATAAATGAAAATAAAATAAGTAAATAAAATAAAACCCTCAGAGTGCCAATTTTACCCTTTCCCCATTCCTGGAAAGTCCTTGGTTTGTTTATCCAACCTACCATCACTTATTTCAGTTCTGGGTGTCTTTTGGAAATCAGAGACCTCCAGGAGATAAAGCATCAGGGGAAGTAAACTCTAGGTTCAAAGGATGGATCACAAAGTCCCATTCATAGATATTAACCCATAAGCCCTACTCTTTCCTTGTAGCAGCAGTTTTTCTAAGTTCACAAAGGCTAATCAGAGAACCCAGTCTGTTTTCAGGGAAGTAGCCCCAGTGTGGCTACAATGGAGTGCTCCTGGGAAGATCCATTTTTACCAGAGTTTTATGCAAAGTGTTTCATGCAAAGCTTACACAAATTTCTCTGCTTCATCAGTCTCTTGTCTGTAATGTTTGCTTCCTGCCTTCCCAGGGATACTAATCTCAATGGAATGTGCTTTTTTCCCTCTCTTGGGTGATCATTTGTGGGGTCCCCCTTACTGAGGAGTCTTGTGTAAGTCTGGGAAGTGTCACTGACAAGCTGGGTTTTCTGGCCATTCTTCCACAGGCATTTTATCTCTAGATAATTCCTCAGGCAAAACTCAGGCTTCTTCATAAAGCTTATGTTCTTTCCCAGACTCAGTGCAATCTTCAGGGTCCTGAAGGACTGGTCTATTGGCAGAAACTCAAGTATTAGGCATTTGTTTCCAAATTGCTATTACTGATTGCTACCATATCTCTCAAGTCATCGTCCCCCCAAGAGAGACAGCCGGTCCAGGTGTCCCTGCTGGATGCAACAATATCTAGAAAAGGAGTCTCTTGTGGTATCTTCATGTTAAAAGGAAGAGAATCTTTCCCAGCAGCTCCCCGCCCTTTCATATCTCATTGGCCAAAAGGGGGTCACATACTCAAACCTAAAATAATCCTTAACCAGGGGAAGGAGATGACAACGACAGATTTAAGCAAATCCAGAAGAAACTCCAAGTAGAACAGGATTGCTCCTTTAAGAAAGTGGGGTTCTGGAATGCAAAAGAATTGGAGAATGCATGCTGAGTCGGTAACCACTTCTGGTTGAGGACACAGATGTGTATAACAGGATGTTAAAAATAACTGTTTCTTTCTCCCAGAATTTGGATGAACCCAGACTATATCCACACATTCTACAGAGACACGCTAGACCTGCCTATACAATCTTTTGACCCCCCTCCCAGGTCTGGCCATCACTCATTCACATAGGATATGTACCCTTTGCGTACTCATTGACTTCTGGTTTTCTTTTGCTGAGCATGTTTTTGAGATCCATTTATTATTGCCATTAGTTTGTTTCCTGTTATCACTGAGTCCATAGCTTGTCTATATTTATCTGAGAAGATCACACCCCTATCAACATTTGCAGTTTAGGGTGAAGGAGTGTATCAGCTCTTTTCTAGAGAGCAGGGTTTGGCCTCGGGGGCTGGAGCTTTGGGATGACCCCCAAAGCCAGGAATGTGCTGAGAGAAGGCGTCAGTGAGCACCCCCTGATGTGTCCACTGGTGGAGGAGGCCCAGGTTCACAGAGTTTTCCGGGGGGCTCCTCGGGGATTCCCTACGCAGCTGAGGAAGTGCAGATTTCCCACCCTTTATAGCTTACAACCAGACTGCTGTTCTGCATTTCTTGGACTTCGCATCAGAAGCAAGAATCCAAGTTACACCACGGGCTGCTGCAAAGATATTTTCCCCTTCTACCAGACAGAGTCCTGGAAAACAGAAGGCGGAGGAGACAGGGAGGTTCCCACAGGGTGCATTGTTAGCAAACTCTTGGCCTTGAAGTTCGGAGTCAAGTCCAGTATATCTAACTCAATTCCAATTTTCTGTTGGAATTATAGTAATCCTAGACCTCAGCACATCCAGAACTATGAGCTAAACATTGAATTCCCCAGTATACTTAACTCATGTGGTTATGAGTCATTTTTAATATGTTCAACAGATATGCTGGCTTCCAAGCTGCATGTCCAAAGTAAGGGTTTTAATTGTTTTTCTTAGTGATTTGCTCATGTCTGCATACCAGCCATCAGGCTTGGCTGACCAGAGCCATCTTGAAATATTTAACTTAGAATTCGGTATAGGACTAAAATGGCAAATATTTCTAAGATCTCTATCCAGAGACACAGATCACTCATCAAAGTTAAGTTCCAAACCAAGTTACAGTAGGAGGTAAAACCAGCTATGTATTTTATACATTCCTGTTATATATGGAATGAATGAAATTTTACATGTCATGTAGGACATTTTTATGCATGCAGAAACAAGTATAGTGTGTCTTTTACAAAACTGAAAAAAAGAAAGAAAATATTTACCTGGTGGGTAATAATTTTTAAAATTCTAGAATAACATTGAAGATACTGAGGTTCATAAAGCTGCTTATCTTCATATTGATGTATACCTTAAACCGTAATATGCCTTCATTTACTTGAAATGTCAAATTAAGCAAGTAATAGAAGGTTGCAAAACACGCTGTTTTTTCTTACCACTTTGAGCAGTCCTCCTCCCCCGCCCCTCCCCCCCACACACACACACATATACACACAAAGTTTTGGAAGTGGGAGGGAAATAACATATGCTCATTTTGAAATTAAACAATATAGAAATTCATAAAGCAGAAAGTGAAAGATTTCCCTGTTATTAAATCTGACTGCAATCTCACGCCTCTAAAATAATTATTGTCCATAGTTTTGTACATATATTGTTAGTCATTAAACATACACAAATGGCAGCATTTGAATATACATTAAACAGGATTATTGTATGCATATGTGACGTTGTGACTTATAAGAAATATGTATTTGGTCTTTGTCCCCATTTCTGGCACAGAG